GCGGGGCGGGGCCGGTCTGCTGGGGCTGGAGGGGCTGAAGAGGTTGTTGCTGGGTTGCCTGCTGGGGGTTGAATGAATTTATTCCCGTCGGCTGGGCTTGGATGCCGGGCATTCCAGTTCTTTGAGGCTCAAGGGAAGGAGGCAAGAAGCTGTTTATGCCTTGACCTTGATTTGGCTGGCCAAAAGAATTCTGCATGTTGTTGCCAAACTGTTGAAATCCAGTAGGCTGAGCTTGCATTGGGGAGAAGGATTGGGGTCGGCTTGGGTCCATGAAAGGACCGGAGTTTGGCGCACCAGTCATCATGGGCTGCAGGTATCCAGCGGGAGCCATCGAATAAGGACCCATTTGCTGTTGCCCTTGGAAACCCGTGTACGCCGGCTGTAGCTGTGCAGCAGCGAGCTGTTGCTGCTGCTGTAGTTGCTGCTGTTGCAGTTGCTGTTGTTGTAGCTGCTGCTGCTGCTGCCGAACCTGTGTTATCTCGCTCAAGCTCTGGCCCGTGGGTGCCACCTGGCTTTGCAATAATCCACCTGTCATCTGAGGGACAAGACCGGGAGAAGCAAAGGCGCTTTGTTGTGCGCTCAGAGGCGCAGATACTGGTCGCTGGGGTGGTGGTGGCACAAGTGAGTTTTGGGGAGAAAGGGCCTGAGGGGGGGTCGGGCGTTGACGTGCTCCTGCGGTTGCCACCCCCGTTGCCATAGCTTGTTGTGGTGGAGGCAAGGAGGAGAAAAAGTTTGGATTTGCTCCTTGTAAAGACTGAGTCGTGGCAGCTGCTTGAGGGACAGGCTGAGGAGCAGCCGCAGGTATGGCAGGCTGGGTCGGCTGAGGCTGTGCCTCTGCCTTGGTCGGCTGCAGCGGCTCGCTCAGGAGAGAGAGCTCCTTCATCGACCCGGTCAAAGGAGCGCTTGAGGGTGCTGCGGGAGCGGCTGGAGCTGCAGGCGTTGGAGCTGGCGCTGGGGACTGCGGCTTGGGCTCTGCTGGAGGCTGCTTGCTGGGCTTCACATCCCAAGCATCATCATCAAACCCACCGCCGGCTTTCGAGCCGCCAGCATTTGTGTTGTTGGCCTTTACTGGGCTCGTAGGGGCAGGTGAAGATTTTGACTCGTCAGCAGCAGGACTTGATTTATCGCCTTTCGAAAAGGCGGCAGCATCAACAACATCGCTTGTTTGGACAGCAGGGGCAGGGCGTCCCTTACGGGTGTTGTTGCGAAGAGTACCGCCTGCGCCAGAGAAAAGCCCACCGTCACCATCCTTTGCCCGTTGTCGTCCAAACTTATTGTCCAGAGTCCGCATTACCTTGATGATATCCCCTTCGCGAAGACCCAGATTCCGAAGAATAGCAGCATCGACATCCGGCAATACACTCTCATCCATCGAGTCCTTGATGAACGCCTGTGCATATCGTTCGCAGAGACCCACGGCGATATCGCAGTCCAGGAAGAACTGGAACCAGTCATATTCGGGTTTCTTGTTCTTCTCGACCTTTGAGCTAGCAGCAGGGGTGGCCTTGTCGGGAGATCTAGACTTGCGAGAAGATGAGGTAGCATCGTCAGTCTGAAGGGGAATGCCCGTGAGGTTTTCTACATATTCAAGATCGTCTCGTGACATCTTAGCTATAGGGACCGCAATCTTGACACCGTTCATCTTGTGGAGGTGGATCTTGCTATCCTTGAGTCCGAGGAATTGGGCGTCAACACTAAAAGACTTGGATCGATCTGTCCACGTTCGAACTTTCAAAGGGTCGGGTTCTGGCGCCAAGGGAGAAAGGGGGATATTAGTTAGTCAACCGAATAGCTTGTAATCTAGGAGGAGAGAACGGGGATGGAGTCAACTCACTGGCCTTAGGCTTGGCCTGGCCACCACTCTCGCTCCGGCCATTTTCACGCCGGCTTCGCTGTTTTCCCGAATTATTACCATTTTCACTTGCGGCGAGACTGCTGCCTCGTGCGGGAAGAGGCACTCCATGCCCTACCTGCTCTGGTTCTTTGCTGGCCTTCAGCGCCTCCTTGGTAAGTCTGAGCTCATCCAAACGATTCTGCTCCACCGTCGACCTGAGATTATCATAATCCGACTGTCCGGCGCCAGCTGCCACAGTCCCCGTTACTTCAATGTAGCTGCTTGGCACAACGCCTTCCTTGCCGTTCTTGAGACGGCGAACTTGCCACCACTCCTCGCTCTTTGAATCGTCAACGACAAACACCTCGTCACCGGCGGACACGGAGACCTCGTCCTCGCCCTGTGCTGTAAAATCGTACAGTATATGGCCCTTCTTCATACCCTGCTTCGATCCTGCCATGATCACCTCGCGAAGCCCCTCGGCCCGAACAGCTCCAGCCATCTCGCCGAGGGCCGTGACAATCTCTTCGGCGGTGTCCTTGGCTCCGGCGTGGAAATCGATGCTCTTGCTTGGGCGAACGAGCTCCATAAAGACGTGTTTACCTTCCCGGGAATAATGGGTCATCCGGTCAGCCGTCCATTCCTGTGATGGGCCGTCTTGGGCGTATTCTGGTGCGATGAGAATAATTCCCGTTCTCAAATTGATACCAAGAGTGGTTGGCATCTTCTTCCTCTTTCCCATGATAGATACCATCTCGTTAATGTTATACAAGTGAAAGCCTCCTGGCGACTTCGCAGGATCGGGAGGAATGGTCACATCGTCATCCTTGGGTGGAGGCGGCGGGCTACGTGAGACTTCCAACGTTGGCGGTCGCGGTCGCGGTCGCGAAGGCAAGGCTGGAGATCGAGCAGACTCATCATCCGATGCATGCTGATAGTCATCGTGCTGCGAAAATGACCGTTGAGGCTGGGGAGGAGGGGAGGGCGAGGATGGTTGAGGAGGCACCGCACGGCCTGCCATCACTCCCGCAAGAGCTGCTGCAGGCCCTGCTGGAGCACGAGGTGGCGATGCTTGGACAGGGCTCTGTGGTTCTTCTTCGACGGCTGCCGGATGTGGTCTCGAGGGGAGTGCTGGAGGCGCTGGCGCCGCAGCTTCCGCAGCAGCATCATCGGAAACAGCCGACATGTCGATATAATTCGATGGGACAAACCCATAATCATCGTCGAGACCAACCAGAATCCAATCCGGATCTGAAGTGTCAAAGACATCGAGGACGGCATCTTCGGGGAAGGATAATTCTTCATCGGTCTGGCGGGTATACTCGTAAAGTGCCCTCGCATGGCCTTGGTTGGGAACCTATTTAAAAAGTTAGCTCGGCTCTTGGCATAGACCAACTGGCGGGATCACCGGCCAGTCCGCGAGTGCCGCATGACCGCTGGGAGGAGAGGTGGCCGCGTGTGAGTCGCATCTCCCACGGAATCCGCGATCAACAGATGCCCGATTGGGTGCGCACGTAAACAGCTCGGTGCGACAAAATCATGGAATTGAAGCCAGGGACCATTGCAAGTAATACGCACCTCTTCAACATAATTATGTGGAATTAAGCCTATGAGCTCGTCTTCGTCCTCGGCGCCAGCCTTCTTCTTGGCTTTCCACCATCCATCGTCGTCATTCTTCTCCAGCACGTAGAGCAGGTCACCCTCGTCGATCGCAAGCTCGCCATCGGCCTGGGGCGCGTAGTCGTAAAGCGCCTTGTAAACACCAAGGAACCCCATGGCAAACGGCGTCACCCGTGCGGCTGCGCTACACTAACGTGGGCTGTTTGTTCTTTGATCGGTGGTCGAGGGGGAGGGGGCTGTGGTTTGCGTGGACAGGAGCAGCCTGTAATTAGCTATTAGGCGTGGGCGGCTCTCCGTTTCATGAGCCCGGGGGCTGTCGAGTATATTTTAAACTTGTGATCGTGAGTAGTTGTCGCCGTTACCGTAGCCAGGTCAGGAGGGAGAGGACGACGGGGTGGTTGAGGGCGAGAGGGCGGGTTAGTTAGGAGTCGGCCTGCCTTTGCTATGGATCCAGCTATCTGCAGTTAGTATTAAGGATGATGTAGCTGGAGGATATAGACGCACAGAGGCTAAGTAAGCTGTGGTATGATGGCCGCACTGTCTGCCTTCTGGACGCAAGTACCCAGACTTGGACAGGGGGGTTGAGGGTTGCAGGACGGCGCTGCTGCTGCTAATTGGCCTCCGGCCATAGGCATATCCACTGAGCCCAATTACTTATTACAGTATCTGGGAGGAAAAGGAGAAGGTACCTTACACGCATGAGCTAGTACCGATATACTCCACATTGCCCGCAACCAAAGCGCGTCTGACGGGTACATTCCACGAGGCAGCTTACATGGAAGTACATGGCACTCGGTAAAGTGCTGTCGATTCACTTTAGTAGACACAGCGCCGCTTTTAAAGTCAGCACTCGCTTATTTCCACCTCCTGGCAACCTACCCTAAGCACCAGATGGTCGATGACCAACTGACGCAGAAGGTGACGGTGACAGACCCGTAAAATATTTGTTTGCACTTTGAACACAAACTTGTGTTCAATCAATGGGATTCCGAAGTCCCGACGATTCGGGGGCCGGATGTTTAAGTATCAAGACGGCTGACTACTGGACACCAAAAAACAAAGAGGCTTGTTCGTGAAAGTGCGAGCAGATATGCAAGAAAGAGACACCATATATGCAAACCAACCTCTAACATTATCTAACATACTAACAATTAACACACCCGCAAGCAGGTGCACTAATTGTGGCCAAGCTCCAAGTATTCAGAGGATACAAGACAGTAGTAGGGTCGCAAATAGGTTCTTGCTAGATTAATCTAACAAACTTGATTTCCAAAGGGCTACGCAGTAGACGCTGTCCGAATAAGTTCGGCTATTATTCTATCTTCCTACCGCACGGCTCAGATGGCCATCTGCATATAAAAGCGATACCTTGCCTGATCGTTGTCTGGGACTGGGATTGGCGAGCTGTGTTCCGGTTGATCTGGCCCAAGGGGGTGGAGGGATATATCGACTAGATGAGGCCGCTACATCAAATTCCCGGCATCAAGGGAAACACTTCTTGAACCTGAGAAAGCTATCTGTCCCTGATATATCTCGTGGCAGATCACTAAGCCCCGCTTCCTCCAGTCGGCTGTGGCGGTGGAGCATTGTTATCCTTGCGTATACTGCTGCTCCTTGATTCGCGAGTATAAATACCCGGGAATGCGCGGGCTTCATGACCGGAAAGGTGGGTGCCTTCTGCCATGTATTGCCCCTCCCGGGACGAGCCTTGAGAAGACTCAACAATACCAGTAGCGGAACCAGGCATATAAAGCGAGCTCGAGGAATGATCGTTTGACTTCAGAGAGCCACTCTGAGCTGCGGAACTCGCATTATTTGAGGCCGAAGTGCCGCTTGGGGCACCAACAGTTGAAGATTTGTGGTTGACATACTGCTCAAGTCTAGAAGAGAGGAGAATATACCACGTTAGCCAGTGACCCAAAACCTGTCATGTCCAAGATAATCACTTACACATCTCTTTCCTCAAGAAGAGTACGATATCGGAAATCCTCTCTTCGATCAGGTACATTCGTTTTCACCATCTCATTGCCATCTCTACCGGGCAGGTCGCACCTGGGGCCCAGCCACTTCTTCTTGATCGACAATTCATAGCCACTTTGCCGAACTGAGTTTTTGGCCAACTCACACATATCCACAGGGCTGAGTTTATAAATCTGTGCTGCAACTGCATACTCCTCAATCAACGGCTCCTTGGTGAAGGCAAACTGCAAAGGATCGTCGGTCGACAGAGAAACATTGAGTCCTCTCCGGAAATATTGATGGAAAGGGTTTCTCTCGTATGCCAAAAATAGGGCATTATTGCTTAGGGGAGACATGGCGATGCCGATTTGTTCGAGGTAGAAAACGTACTGAAGCAACGGCACCTTTCGCAGAAGAAGACCGTGGCTGATGCTATGGCAGCACAAGGCCGCCACTGCCAGATGCTCGCTGTCTCCAGCCTCGCCGCAATGGGGGCGCATGACCAAAGTATTGAAACCCCGCTTCTTGCGCCAATAGTTTAGGGATGCCATGTTGGAGTAAAGATAGTATATCCAGTAGCTGTATGGTGGGTTCTGCTTTGTTTCCCAATCCTTGGGGACAGGGAACTTTTTGAATAGCCGGCGTTCTACCTTGCTCTCATCATCCACGCTGTCAAAGCCAATGACTCTCTGCAAGAAGACGTGGAGCTTTGGGTGACTTGAAGGATCCTTGGTTACTTCGAAGAGGGGCTGGAAGACATTTTTGACGATTTGCTCATAAGAGTCCATCAGGCCACTGGCCTTGTACACATCGTATAATCGAGGAATCTGCACGAGCCAACGAACATTGTGTGAGAAGAGTTTGTTATCAACAACCCAAGCTGCCAGCTTGTCCCACTCGTCAATGGATTTGCCATAGATGGAAATGCGCCACTCTACCATCTGATACTTGCTCGACTCCAGATCTGAGATGACTTCTTTGGTGATTTCTGCTAAGTACCGCCCATGGATGAAGTTATCCGTCTTGAGGAAGATGGTTCTGAGCCGAGATTCGCCAATGGGATTATATTTTAGGTTGAATTTATCGAAACGATGGAAAGAGTCAGTATGAGCCTATCCAGCGTGTTAGCAGGCCGTTATTAGCTATGAAGATCCCTTGAAGGAGGTAGATGGGTGACTGGACCGAGCCATCAAACTTACGTGCATATCCAGTGTGTCGATACTCAAGTCATAAGCTGTCAGGTTAATACTTGAAAAGACTTCCGCCAATGTCAAATGTTTTCCATCCCTATACAAAACAACTTCGTTGGGAAACTTCTTCATCTTACTCTTGATGAACCGGAGAAGGTGCTTTTGGTTCATACAGGCTGAGTGATGGACGTGGGTGTCTACTTTACGAACGTTGTAGAAGTCTCGGTGAGGAACCTTTTTACTGTCGGCTGTCTCCTGATACTCGTTAAGTAGAACATAGAGATTAAACCTTCCCTCGAGATACTGGAGGCGGCGGAATGCAAAACTCTTGCTCGGCCCGTCTGAGGAGGTGGTAAGGATCTCATCTAGGTCCATGTAGAATTCCCTGATGGTGGGGACTTGGATAGCAGGCTCAGTAGCTTTCTCAGTTTCGAAGACTTGGTATACGCCGCTCTCATCCAGTCTGAAAGCCATACCATCGTCGCCGGGGAGGGGCAGAAGATCATCCATATCGAAGTCTTCACCGACATCTTGGCCCGGTTTTCTCCTTCTAATAGGACGTTTCGTTCCCTGCTTCTCAGACGGCCGTTCATGCTCACCAGAGCCATACACTTCCCCGGTCGCCTTCCAGGCAGGTTCTGGAGGAGGGGGGTAAATGTCCCAACCTGGCATGTCCCTAGGGTTATCATCTGGTCCCTGGGCAGATAATTTAATGTATTTGCGCCTGACATCAAGAATTCGCTGGATATTTTTAGATATCGCACTGAGTTCTTCGGTGATTTGAGGCTCGGTATCGAAGGCACCGCTCGCCAAAAGGCCGCTCTGGGGCACAGCAGGAGCTGTGGACTGCGAAGTGTCGGGCGTATCCTTGGAGTACAATGCAGGGCCGGCTTTGGAAGGTGCCATACCGGGATATATCCTGGCGCCAGGAGGAGACATGGCGTCTAGAGGTGGCCGATTGTATTCTGGGGCCGAGGTTGGTGTTTCGGAGCTACCCTTCCAAAGAACTTGGGGTTCTGTACTCTGATTCTCGGGATCGAGAAGCAAAGAATCGGCTCCATATTCCGTTGGGGGCTGCGAGCCAGCAGCAATCATAGGACTGCCGAATGGCGTCTGTTGGGAGCGAGTCCCGCCAGTGTTGGAGCGAGTCTCAGCCTTGCTGCGTTGATAGAAGTGTTTGAAGTCTGTTTGGCTCATCTGGCGTTCGGCGACTGGATCGTAGAAAGTGGTACGTTTTGGCAGATCGCGCAGCAACATTCCTTCACGAAGTTCGCCTTGTTCGTTGTTCTCGGTCGATTCGTTCCATGCTCGGTGCTCATCTGTGGAAGCTTCTTCCCATTCTGTTGCACCGGCCTCCTGTACGCTTGCATCCTCCTCATCTGACTCTCTTGTATGTACACCGTAAGGTGTCACCTGGTCCTGGTGGGGAGCACCATTTTCTGAATCGAATTCACGTTAGCCCTGTCTGTTGGGGGATTTCAAGCATGATCGGCCCTCCCTTGCTGGCCTTTGCATTGCCATCATGGAGCAGTATAACACATACCGCCAGCCATCGCGGCGCGGCCTGAAGCGAATCAAGACTCGAGCGAGCAGGGAAGATGTTCTCCGGCACGGCAAAATGGGAGGGAGGACCAGGGGCAGCTTTCGCACGAATTGGTAGATATCGAGGAAATCAGTAGAAGATAGAGAGGGGAGCAGTTTTGGTACCAAGACCGCCTACACCCATATCTTGGTCCTTAATTTTTTTGGAGGGGCGGATGTAGAGGGGGAGATCGAGTGTGGTGGAGTTATTCTGGTTCGGCGAATACCGAGAGCTCCCTGGCAGTCGGTGACATAATATGGCTGGGGTTGGGTTGCACCCAGCACGATACAACTCGATTCATGCAAGGGAGACACAGAGACCGCCCACTGCGTTCTAGTTAATACCTTAGTACCTAGTGCTAACTGATTGGAGTAACTAGTCCCGTATCTAGGTCTGTTGTCTATACTACACCAGGGCCTAAGGTGGGTAAATGGGACCACAGCACCAACCCACGCAGGCAGGTAGTTGCAGCTACCGTAGCTACGTTAGGTAGGTCAGGGGATGCCATACGTGGTGGCTGTGTATAGTTTATACACAATGCATCAAGGACAAGACTATCAGGTTGTTGTATCAGCACCCAATCCATCTGGATTAGGCAGTACCTAGTAGGTGCTGGGTGAGACCCTTTTCATAACGAAATCTAACAACCATCTAAATGTTCTATATTTGCCAACTGTACTTAGTATATGTATATTACCATGACTTTCCCTTGCGCCTTGTCCGTTTTCTCCTCTTGTCTTGTCTTGTCTTTCTGTTGCTTGAATCTCATCACCCGTTCTATTCGTACCCTCATTTCACACTTGGCCCCGTTTGGCAATGCCTATTGCACTCCCCAGCCTAGCCTTCTTTCTTGACCGTAGTTTGGGCATGCTCTTTTGAGGGTGAACTTTGCTTCGGCCGCGATGAGCCGAACGTGTACAACCCTCCAGCACCGAAGACGACCAAAGCCCCGAGAACAGTCCCGGGGGCAAGAGTGTTCCCAAACAGCCATATACTAAGCAGCAAGCTTACTAACTTCCGAACATTGAGGACAATAGTTACAGTGAGAGCCGTTGACATGGCAGCCAAGAGATTGACACCGCGGATGCAGGCGTATTGAGTGAGGACATTGGCTGCCAAGAACACCAACTGCCTTGGCGCTTTGGCGAAGACGGCACCGACGGTAGGCGAAAAGAAACCTACGGGCAGTGGTTCACTCGCAGCCATACGACTGTAGCTGGCGTACATGGACGAAGCAAATGGGAGGAAAAGGGGCAGTGAGAGCGTATGGGAGTAGAACAGGTTCTCTTTCCACTGCGGGCCGTACTCTCGGTAGGTAGCTTCAGTGTAGAGGCCCATGATGGCCGATAGCACTTGGGCGACAAAAAGAACCACAAGCCCTGTGCTGAAAGCCGGCCTCGAGTCGTCGCCGGACTTGCCCTAAAGAGACTATGAGAATCGGACATGATCGTAAGAGGACGGGGGTTTACCCACCTTTGCCTGAGAATCGGACCATGCAGCTACAATGACCCCGAAGGTTAGGAGAACGACTGCGAAAATCTGCATCCGAGAATATCGTTTTCCGTAGAGATAGCCTGCGGCCATGGTCGTGATACTTCCACCTGAACGGAGAATAATATGAACAGGGACGGAAATGTTATAACTGAATGCATGGTTGTTAAGCACATTGATGCTGAAGAACAGCACAATGTTGATGATCCAGCGGCGAATGGGAACCTTGTTTGGGGCCAGGAAAAAGGGTGGCCGTGACTGGTCAAACTGTGTGATATAACCTGTGGTCGCTACAAAAATAAACTGGACAAAGGTCAAGAGAGTTCCTATAATAGTCACATCATCTCAGCGAATGCCGCTATCAACAGCCTTGATTTGCAGGCGGAGGGAGGAAGCATTCACGGAGGCTATCGTACCAGCAGATGGCTCGAAACTTGTAGTGGCAGAATGTTAGTTGGGCCTTGGTTGCTTTATTGAGAAGTGTTCCTCGAGGATGAGGAATGAAGGGACAGACGTACTTGATGATTGCTTCGAGAGCGTAGACCTATTGGGCATATTCAGCATGTTCTCAGTGGCCACCAAATCAGGACGGATTTCCATCGGTTGTGCTACATTGAGATAGAGAGAACTGGTCTTACATTCGAGCAGCAGCCGCCAAAGATTAGGCCCAACATAACTGAGGCGGCAAGCAGCGAAGGTCCGGCATGGCGGGCGAGAGACATAGGGCTAGGCTTGTCGTCGCCTTGATCTCCGTTACTTGGCCTTCTGCCTCCGTTGGGTTGGTCGTCGTGTTTGCTCATTGCGATGCGACTCTACTTTGATGAGATCAAGCTCTGATACAACCAAGCGCCACGAGGTCACCACCGTGTCACGACCTGGGTGGAGCAGGCTTATGAAGCAAAAGACAGCCTTCCTGCCGAGGCTTGTTGCCTAGGGTAGCTAGAACCCTGATCGTCGTGAAGCGGATGAAGAGTGATCTTGCAGATGGAAGCAGGTGGATGAGGTACTTCTAGTAGTAGGGGTGTAAAGTGGTACTAGGACAGGTGGTCGGCAAGGTTCTAACAAATGGCCGTTGAGGTAGGTACTACCGTACATACCTGGGTAAGCTTAGGTCAGGTATCTGCGTACCCTAGACAGGCAGGATGGTAAGTAGGTACCTGCCGTCAGGTATTGGGCAGCCCATCTAGACGTGGGAGGTACCTACGCCAGCAGATCCGTCTGTATCCTCCCCCCCCCCCTGCTAGTTGATCAATACATGGATGACAGGAACGCTTAGGAGGATAATCGTACCAGTCCCGAAAACGACCTACATGAGAGAGACACATCTGAAGTAAGCTACGACAATGCGCATACCGTGCTCGACCAGCTTACCAAATAGAGTTAATTTGCAAACACGCGGAAAGCGGACGTTTCTGGATATTCTCAGGCAATCTATTGATCATAGGATGGATGCACATGGAGGAGAGAGCGGTCACGTAGGGACTCAATTTACAATTAGTTCTTGTTCTCTTTGTTCTCCTGAATATGTCAACTTGTAATAATCGTCGCGAACGACTGGCCACCAGACACGAACGCATTATAGAAGCTGAAGAATACCAGCATCGAAAATGCACCAATCGCCGGCTGAAGGCGGCAGTGCATATGGGAGACGATAAACCTCAACTGGCCTAGCAGCCTCCAACTTCCATCTGTGACCCAGTGCGACGCTGATTTAAAGTGGTCAGGCGACTTCGGCATTTTCACAATGCCGTCCACCCATCTTCAGATCAATACTGGCATTTGATCGTTGCCGGGTCGAGACCACCAATCGCCCACCGGAGTCTTGCCCTACGTGTCCATCATTTGGGGCGAAACATCATTCTTGTGAAGCCCTTGGGTCGTCATCCTGCCCACCCCCAACACAAGAAGAACCCTGGCTCTAAGCGGAACAAGTGATTTCCTCAAGAGTCTAGAATCAATAACGTGGGGCCGCACCATAAATTACAGTGCCGAAAAGACAAAGAGCTACATGACTGGTAAGCAACGGGTATATGGACTACAATTGGGGTAGCCGTAATTTGGCCGTGGGACTCACGTTATTGGTCGCAGCGATTGCAATGCTGTCTTCGAAGGGGTGCCAGCTCATGTGGAGGATTTTCTTGTTAAAATCAATCTGATCCGCATCGGTCTCCTTACGCATTCTTTGTGCTCCGCCACCTGGGCTCTCTGCCCGCGAGCCTGCCTTCTTTCCACCGTTTGCCGTCGGGCTCGTTGCTGAATTAATGGGTGTGGGAACTCCGATCTTCTTCGCCTTGAACGCCGATTTATCCGCCTGTAGTACTACCTCCGTCTCTTTCTCTGGATCCGAGGGATAGATCATGAAATTGTTGTTGTAGCTTCCCGTCATTACGTTCTTTGCATCACCGGAGAAGACAACTTCAAACTTGTCGAATATGCTATCGTTTTCATACGTATCGCACAATCGCGGTCGCAGATGCTCGTGTATCGGTATCGTCTTGACGGGTTGTCGTTCCATGTTGATATCCCATATTTTGACGGTTAGGTAGTCGCGAGAGAGGATGTATCGGCCATCGTAGGAAAATCGAACGTCGGAAATGGATGAGATGATCTCGGAAAAGAACGACCTTGATGAAGGGTCTTCTTCCTGCTCGAACACTAGGTGGATTGGATGTTAGTATAACAGCATGAGCTTTAATGGGGAGAGCCTGAAAGAGCGAAAGAGAAACACGAAGGGCTAGAGACAGATTGGGAGAGGGAGGCAAACTTTTCGCATGTTGGTCGCAGAGCGCGCTCTCACGCATATCTGCGAGCTTGATTGTGCCCTTTGAGCTGGCATACATGAACCAGTTGCAACTCTGTGGGTGGAACTCGGCGGCCGTTATCACCTCAGTGAGCTCCTCCATGTTTGCGGGCTTGATGTCAACGATGTTGAAGCTCTGGTCTTGGATGTTGAGGTTCCAAAGGTTGATGCGAAGATCGTCGCTGCTGATATATGTCTCGCCATCGCTGTTCACGGATATGCTGTTTATATGGTAGGCGTGGGCGTTTGCATAGGTTCTGCGTGGGACGGCGGCAACGACGGTATCGTGATGGGTCAAGCGTGGAAGTTTGAGGTCAGAGGCATTCTTGAAGGCGGACGGAGGGGGGCGCAGGGCATTGCCGCCGCCAGCCCCGACGACGTTTGCCGGTGTGACATCGTGAGATAGGTTATTCTCGGCCACTACCTTGAGAGATTTCTCAAAGACTTTCCATAGCTTGATGGTCTTGTCGTTGGTTGATAACAAGTAGTGTGAGGCGTTTTGTCGGCGGCACCACTTGATTTTGTTGATCTTTTCTTCAATTTCGAGAGATTTGAGGTAGTCAAACTCGGGTTCGTGGGACTGGAACTCGGTATGGAACTTATACTCGCAAGACTTTTTCTGCAGGCCTATTTGTCAGACTGGCAGATCAGGGCAACAGCAGCTTGGAACTGAGGAAATC